AATGTTGACAATAAAAATATAGAAACAAGAAAACAAATAAAACCAAAGGCTGATTATTTGAGATCAATAGTTGTGGAATCTCTAGCCAGAATGATCAAGACAGAAAAAGATAGGTTCTTTCTGTCCGGAGTGAAACAAGCTGTCACTTCTGAGCTGCAGGGGTGGAAGGGCGCAGAAGAAGATTATGAACAACTTTGTGTCAACACAGTCAGCACTGTGACCAGACAGGACCACTTCTAGGAAGACACAAATTCTTAAAGCAGTAGAGACAACCCCAGTAGCCTCAGATCTATTAAAGGGACTCAGTTTATCCCAAAACATTCCTGCAAGGAAAGCTCCAGACCCTGTTTGTATCACCAGCAAATCTGGCCAATCATTTAAGGAAGACACTTCACCGTCTGTATAAACCTGTCCAGTGAAATGGAAGACAAGACCACACTTAACAAATTCTATGAGGTCAGCATATCTTGGATGCCAAAACAGACACACAAAGCACTTTCAACACATTTTTTACAAATTGAAGCCAATTATAATTAAAGGATAATTCCTCATGAGCAAACAGGGTTTATCCCAGGGATGCAAGGTTTATTTAGCATCTTAATATCAATTAAGGTGATTCATATATTAATGAATAGAAAAAGATAATATGACCATCTCAATAGATGCAAAAGCATTTGACAAATTAAAATACTTACTGCCAGTTTTAAAAAGAAACAACTCAGCAGAAAACTAGAGATAAAAGGGAACTCTTGATCTGATAAGACACATCAAAGAAAAGCTAATAGCTACCGTTGCACTTAACAATGAGAGACCTAGTATTTCCACATAGGATCAGAATCAACCTGAGGATATCCACCACGTCAGCAGCACCCCGGAGGCTGCTAGGCAGCACAGCAGTGAAAAGAACGCATTTATTTCAAAATCAGAAGTCCAAGGGCTTGTGTTTACAGACAATGTGACTACCTGTGTAAGACACTCTATTGAATCTACCCAAAAAGCATCAAAACTAATAATTGAGCCAAGAAAAGTTGTATGCTACAAGATAAATGTTCAAAATCAGATGTTTAAACAGCCAAAGATGAAATCAAAACAATGCCGTTTACAAAGGTATGGAAAATGTGAAATAGTTAGAAACAAATTTTGCAACGTATGCATTAGTCTCAGACCCTAAATACTTTGAAATGCTGCTGAAAGAAGTTAAGAAGACCTATGTAAGTGAAAGATAGGCCAGAAGATGTAGCATTGTCAAAATATTCATTTTCTCCAAATCAATTTATAGCACCTTTGCAATTTCAGTTAAAATCCCAGCAGGTGTTTTGTAGAAAATGGCAAGTTAATTCTCAAATTCACATGGAAATGGAAAAGAACTACCAAACAAGTTGGAAGAAGAAGAATGTTTTGGTATTTACACTGACTTCAGTAGTATTTTTAGTTCTTATTGGCAATACAGAATAATGGGCTTTGTTGGGCTCTCAGTACATACACAAAACATACTTTACTCTGCTCTCATCACCTCCTCACCCATCCCTTCTTGTTGTAAATCTACTGTTGGTCAAACAGTGTGGTATTCATTTTACAGAGAGATGGAAAAATGGAACAAAGTACTTCTCAGATAGACCCTCACATAAACGGTGGATTGACCACTGCCAAGGTGCAAAGACAGGCTGTTGGAGACAGTCCAGCAAAGGTGACCAAGCAATCGTACTTCCATAGCACAGGTCCATGTCAGCACCTGCACTGAAAGGTGACTGATGCATCACCACTATCGTCACCCCTGTGAGTGAAGCCTTGCTCATTCAACATGGATTGTGCTCCTAAAGGTGAAACTCAAACCTACAGAACTTCTGGAAGAAAATATATATGATCTTGGGTTGGGCAAACATGACACCAAAAGCAAAATCCATCTAATTAAAAATAATAAATTGTGCTTCAAAATTGAGACTTTAACAAAGAGACCGAGAAAAAGCAGCTGCTCTTGCTGCAGCACTAAGAGAAACAGACCCCAAGTCTGATTCTCGGGGCACCAAGAAGAACTCAACGACTGCATTCATCTGCTACCACTGTTAAAAGCCAGGCCACCTCAAGAGGAACTGCCTGAAGAAGCCCCATGGGCCATGCCCTGAATGCAAAGGTGACCACTGGAGATCGGTCTGCCCTCTGAAGCGGAGGCCCAGAGCTCAGACCCATCCTACCAGTTAGTCGAACAGGAACGAGGGGGCCCAGGGCATACTCTGCCTTCTCCCTCTGGCCAGACTGTCATCTCCATGGAGGAACCCTGGGTAATTGTGGCTATAGAGGAAAAAGAAAACAGCCTGCAGCTAGACACAGGTGGAAGTCTCTCGGTCCTTCTTTTCAGTCCTGGCCTTCCTTCCAGCTATCACACCTCAGTGAAAGGAGTCACTGGTGAGGAGGTAATACGCTGTTTTTCACAACCCTTAGGCTGTAACTACTTGTTAGATCTTTCTTGCGTATCTCTGCCTTCCTGAGAAACCACTTTGAAGATACCACCATGTATTATGGCAGCCACTGATATTTTCCTACCAATCTGTCCATAGCTCTGCAATGTTTGTATTGTTCCTATGCTATTTCGCAAATGGATGTATGTTTATTACTATGTGTTTCTTACAACAACCATTGAGAATAGTCAGTGAATATTCAATTGGTAAAAAAAAAACAAAACAAAATTGAGACTTTGTCTCTGTGGAAGAAAGTATGAATAGAATCAAAGGACAGCAGGTATTTGCCAACTCCACTTCTAACAAGGGACTTGTATCCAGACCATGTAAAGAATGCTTAAAACTCAGCAAATGACTCAACAACTGCAAAGGCAAATACTCCAAGTTAAAAGAAACCAGCATGCTTAGCATTTCACCAGAGAAAATATTTGGATGGCAAACACACATTAGAACTCCTCAAAATCATTTGTTGTTAAGGAAATACAAATTGAAACAATGAGATACACTATATGGGCACCTACTAGAAAGGCTAAAATTAAAATAGACTAACCACAGCGTGTATGGTAGGGATGTGGTAGGGAGGGCAGCAATGGGCCCAGTGCATATTGGAGGACAGTTTGGTGGTTTCTTTAACAGTGAAGCAAATAGATCCCAGATGATTCAGTCCTTCTGCTCCTGACATTTCTCCAAGAGAAAAGAAAACAGACTTCACACTGGAACTTGGATGCAATGTCCAAGGCAGATTTGTAATAAAAACCTGGAAAGAAGCCACATGTCCAGCACAGGTGAATGACACATAGACGGTGGCCTACCCACACAAGGGACATCTCTGACCCACAAAAAGGAGGACACTATCTGTACCTATGACAGATAATTCTGGAAGTAAAAATGCTCAGTGAGTGAAGCCCAACAAAAAAGTGCAAATACAACCTGATCCCGTTTTATAAAATTCTAGAAAATGCAAAAATAATCAGTAGTGACAGGAAGTTGATCCATGGTCTCTCCCAGGCAGGGGGAACTGAAGCAGCACAGGGACCTCAGGACAGAGGGGGAAGGAAAGCATTTGGGTAATGGCCTGTTCTTTGACCTGACTGTGACAGTCTCACAGGTATATGTCTACGTCACAGATACGTCAAAATCTATCCTGTGTGTACAGTTTCCTGTTCTTACCATTATACCTTTCCAAAAAAGCTATTGGAAATGCAGACAAAAACTAAATATGATTGTGTGATGGTTTGGCCAACAGCGAGTGCAACCTCTTTTAAGATAACTGGCAGGTCCTCAACACACATATTTTGGGGGCCAGTGGATGCAGGGTCTCCCCCGTTCCTTGGAAGGAGTCGCCAGCTTCCCATGTACCTATGCAGATGACCTCAGCATCCAGAAAAGCAAAGTGCTCATTGCCAGGGGCCGACAGGTGTTCACCATGGCTCTCTTGGGTGTGCAACAGAGCACCCCATCCACGCTGTTTCTTCCCCATTTCTATTTCTGCCTTAGAGCACATTTTCTGGTCTTCGAGTTGGAAGTGTTGATGTTTTGCATAGCTGTCTAAATCTAAATGAGCAAGTGGATGGATGCCCTCTGTTAAACTAGAAATCTACACACAGGAGTCATCACTGCTGGGCATGAACTCAGCAGAGAGTGGGGAAGATAGGAAGGGGTGAGGTCCAGCTGGGGCCCTGCTGATGCCGGCTGGCCTGAAGCAGGGACACACCCAAGTGCAGATGGCCCCAGGCGTCCAGGAGCCAGCACTGCTCTCACTTGCAGGCGTCACATAACCAAGAACTGCACGCTGCTCCAAGACACCTCTTCTCCAGAACCCCAACACACGCAGTGGTTGTGCTGTCCTGACCCTAGTTTAAACAGGATACACAGAGGCTTGGCTCCTTCTGGGCCCCCCTGCCAAGCGATCCATTCACACCCGGCCATGCTTCTCCCCAGGAGGCATCAAGGAAGTTCTGCACTTTTTCTCCTGGCCCAGGGGCGGCTGTGGGAACCTGGGCGTCTGCTGCCTCCAGAGCTCCTGGAGTGCCTGGGCGGGCCAGTCAGCAACTTATCTATTCAAATTTCATTCCCTTTGAAAAGCATTCCCAAGGACATTCATTTCTCTGAAATCAACATTCTCCTGCTTGTTAACTCCACCTCAGACCAGGGCCTCAGAGGATTCCAGCTGCAATGACATATCCTCCCGCCTCCCCACGGCCTCCAGGATCCCCTGGAGGGCTCTCTAGGTGTGAGTTTTGTGTGTTTTGCTGGTAGCTTTGCAAAATCCCCCAAGCTGGAAGGCAGAAAGCGTTGGTCTCAGAGTCAGCCTAAGTACCCAAGAGGGAGACCTCAGGCAAAGATGCAGGGTGGGCAACAGGACCTCACACACTAGGGGAGCAGGCTGGGCTACACCTCGTTTTGTGCGCCAAGTCCTGAGAAAATGTGCAAGAAGAATCCCAGATGATCTGCTCTGGGCGGGGCAGGCAGTGTGGGGGAGTCGCTCAGTTTGCGCTGTCACTGGGAAGTGGTCCAATGGCACCTGGCCCGCGAGCCCGTCCTGGTCCCAGGCACCCCCGTGGTCCCAGCTCCAGCAGCAGGGCCCAACCAGTCAGCGAGCAGCTCTGCGAGCTCCGCAGGACCTGCTTTCCCCTGGGTCCGACGTTTCGTTCCGGGGAAACCAGCTCCGCCCGCTGGCCGGCCCCGCCCCGCCTTGGTTGTGCAGAGGGGACGCGGGAGGTGACCTCGGCCGCAGCCCGCTGCACAGCATGACCGCTGCCCCCGGCCCTCAGCACCCGCCCGCCTCGCCCGCCTCAGCCTCCTGGGTGCTCTGACCGCCGCCGCTCGCCATGCGGCCCCCACCCGCGGCCGCCCTGGGCGCCGCACTGCTGCTGCTGCTGCTGCTGCTGGCTTCGGAGCCGGCGCAGGGTAAGTGGAGGACCCGGGCCCTGCCCCCACTGCCCCTGCTGTCGCTGTCATCGCCCCCCTGCTCCCGCTCTCGCTGTGCCCCGCATTGTCTCACATGTCCCCCGTTGTCCCGCCCGCTGACTGCTGCTCTCCACAGCGCTGCTGCTGCGGGCCCGAGAGGCCGCGCAGTTCCTGCGGCCGAGGCAACGCCGGGCCAACCAGGTCTTCGAGGAGGCCAAGCAGGGCCACCTGGAGCGGGAGTGCATCGAGGAGCTGTGCAGTCGCGAGGAGGCCCGGGAGGTGTTCGAGAACGACCCTGAGACGGTGAGCAGGGAGAGGCAGGTGGCGGCGCATCAGGAGTCGGGCTGGGCACTGCACCGGGGACCCGGGACTGCGGCCCAGCGGCGTGCTGGGGAATCAGACGCGGAGCGCTTGGCGGGCCGGTCACTGCCCCCACTGCCCCCTACCCACTCTGAACCCCAATCTCCCTGGTGGCCCCAGGTCCTTGTTTGGTGGGGGCAGGAGGCTGGTCCTCAAGTGGGGCCCTCAGCCTACAACACCTTAAAGGAAATCCCAAAATTAGATGCCCCACCCCAGCAGGGAACCCTTTGAAAGGGGTCTCCTTTCAAAATGGGACAGAAACACAGGACTGAAACTCGAACACTTCCTGCCACAGCTGGGGTGCGGCAGGGCGCTGGAGGAGGGGGGCAAGCTGGAGGGCTTTCCTCAAAGAGGAATTGAAAATCTCCAGCTGAAAATCTCCAGCTGGAATTGCTTGCTGCAGCAGGTCCAAAAATACAGTCACAGAAATTGCAGGGAGGGTATGGGAGGGTGGAGGCAGCACTGGGTCAGGACGACCTTGGGGGCCAGGACCCACCAGGCACATATTGCCCCGTGCCCAGGAGCAGGAGGGACTGGTAGGGGTTGGGGATGCAGGATCAGTCTGTGTGTGGGGGAGTTAATTTGCAACCTGAGCCGCCATCATGGTGTCTCACAGCCAGGTTTCTTCCGGGATGAAAAAAATCACAACATGAAACATGCCGTGAAAGGATGGGCTGGTGTGACCTATGTGACCCTACATGCCAGCTGACATTTGTGTGGGTGAGGGGCGCTGCCCTTCAAGGTCTGATTCTCCAGAGCAGCTTAGGAGATACTGAAGGCCACTGGGCTGCCTTGTCACAGGGACAGGGCACAGATGATGTCCCATGGCTGTATCTCCTGATGGGTATATCTCCATGACAGATGTCTCTCCCATGATGGAGACATCTCTCTGGAAGGGTGTCTGTCCTGTGCTGAGTGTCTCTCCATGACAGGGGTCTCTCCATGATGGGCATCTATGTCCCTGATGTGTGTCTCTGTCCATGAAGGGCATCTCTCCATGATGGAGACGTCTCTCTTGAAGGCCATCTCTTTTGTGGTGGGAGTCTCTCCATGATGGGTGTCTCTCCATGATTGGTATCTCTCCTGTGATGGGGATGTCTCTCCATAATGGGTGTCTCTCTGCAATGGGCATCTCTGCATGATGAGTGTCTCTCCGTGATGGGTGTCTCTCCATAATGGGCATCTCTGTCCATGCTGGGTGTCTCTCTGTGATGGGAATGTCTCTCCCATGATGGGCCTCTCTTTTTCACTGGTTTTGACTGAGGAGCAGTTACCCAGGCTCTTAGCCTTGCAGTTGTTCTGGCTTTTTGATCCTAACCCTGGTGGTCCATAAGTCATGATGCATTTCTCTTTCTTGCCCGAAGACAGGCCTCCTTTGGGGTCACCAGCTGTGGCCTGAGCTGGGGATTGTTGGCTGGGCTGCCCTCCCACCCTGTGCTCACTGGGATCTCTGTGCCTGTGGATCTGGGGTAGGGCTTGTGGGGACTTGACAGAGCCCAGGCGCCGCCCTTGGGGAGCTGGCCTCTGCTGGCCTTTGCCAGGACCTGCAGGCCCATACTGGCCTGGCTGCCGAGCTGTCCCCAGGCCAGGCCCTCTGGTTTGAACTGATTTTATGTTGTAATTACAACTGTATTTATGAAGATGTGAATTGAAGGCACAAGAAAAAAATAGCACTGAGGAACCCCATGGCTTTAGTACAGCCCTATTATGATCTCCTGTGCTGGAATTGTCAGGGCATCTGCATTTGTCTGCATTTGTGGAGGAGGCTCCAGGCCACTGGGGAGGTTCCATCGTAGCCCACTGTCAGCTCTGTTCTCCTGGCAGCTCACTCACATTTTGGAAGGAGGCTGATACGGGGTCCAGGTATAAGGCAGGGCATGGGCTCATCACTGGGACCCAGTGTATAAGAGCAACAGAGCTGTCAGACCGGATTTGCAGGGCAGCTGAAGGATCCTGCAGAAGCTGCCTGCTGCCTGCCCAGCCCTGCAGGCCCAGCGAGGTCTAGGGGCTTGTCCTGCCCTAAGCTAGGTGGACCAGGAAGCTGGACCCAAGCTCAGACTCCCTCTCCACCAACCAGAGACTTTAAACCCAACTTAGGGCTTAGAGTGCTGACGTTGGAGTCCTGCCTCTTTCTGCAGCTAAATGAAGCACTGTTTCTCACACCCCTTCTGCCAGAGGAGACTCAGCACCACCCCCCCACCTCCTCCTCCCACATTCCTGGCCCTGCGGACAAGGCCTGGCCCTTATAATCACTTTGTCCCTCTCTCCCCTTCTCTTATCTTGCTTCCCTCTGGTGGTGCTGCTGTCCTGCTGGCTGGCTTCCTGGTGTCCTGGCTGGCCTTCCTGTCCTGAGCCTCAGGGATCTGCCCAGCTCCTCACAGACAACCTTCTATGAAATCCTTTTAGGCTGGGATTTCAGTGCCAGACAGGGTTTCTTTGCTTCCAGGGGATCCTGATTAAGAGGCTGCCCTCCCAAAACAGCCCAGGCTGAGCTCCTGGAAGGGGGTCGTTCAGTTAGGGACACGAGTGCAGTGTGCACTCCGGGCTGAGCTCCCTCCACCCTGCCTCCGCCCTCGGATCTGACCCTTTGTCTTGCTTACTTCTTCTCCCTCCCAACCCACCTCCTCACCTGCCCCAGGTGTGGTGGCCCCTGTCCCACTCTGCTGATGGTGGCAAGTTATCTGGTAGGATTTTGGGATGCTGTCAGTTCTCTGGTAGGATTTTGAGGGCCTGTCAGTTTTAAAAACAGGGGTCCAGCTGACCTTGTAGAAACCTTGTCGACCCTTCCATGACTCTCAGGATGGCTTGAGGAGGACCATCTCCCATGCAGATGAAGCCCCTGATTCCCTACTTGGGACCACTGCTCTGTGGGGCAGGGCCCATGTGTCCGGGGACTTAAAGGGCTTCTAGCAGGAGGAGGGAGGGACCCTCAGAGAACTGCAGGAAAGAGATTACAGGATGAGATGTCCCCTGCCTTCACAGCTGCCCCCAACACATCCACACACGTACATACACATATACACATTCATGCACACAGAGACACACATAAACAACACAGAGATGCACACATGTGCACAGACAGGCATTGACTCACACACACAGTCACACAGGTACTTGCACATAAACTCTTCTCCCCAGCATCCTGCCCGAGGACTCATCTTCCTGGCACCAGGACTGTACTGCTGGCTGCAGTCTGGATGGCTGTCCTCTCTTCATCGCTGCCCTGCATTGGCCAGGGATCAGCTCCTGGACCAGGGTCTGGGGTGGGGTGCCTACTGGGTCCCCAGCCCTTCCTCGCGCTGAGCCTGCAGACCTTCATACCAGGCCCTGGCACCTGCAGCCCCAGGACCAGGCCTTCAATACCCTCTGCAGGGCAGCAGCAAAGCTCCAGGCACCATGGGGCACTGGCTCAAGCCAGGCTCCACATCTGCGGAAGCAGCGAGTGTGTGCAGGAAGCTTACAGCCCATCTCTAGAGTCCAGGAAAGGCCCAAGGTCAAGGCCAGGCCAGGGCTGCAGGACACATGGGTTGTTTACCCTGGGCCTAGCTGTCTCCCAGCTTTCAGGTTGGAGCAGGGACTGTGCAGTTTGTTGTTCTGGGGTTCAGGGCTCAGCGCTGGGACCACTCCACACCCTCCTGCATCCATTTTGTTCCAGTGATTTTGCTGTAAATGGCTTGTGTGCACGTTAAGGTTTTGAGATCGTTTTTAAGGCGGTGGCAGTGGAAGAAGCCGGGAGCTTTGGCTGTTTCTCCCTCCACACACAGCACTCTCAGCTTTGGCTGAGGCTTGGAAGGCAAGCCTGATCTTGAAGAGACTGCAACGTGTACCTGGCCTCCTTAGGGTCCTCTGTGTTTGCTTGGACTGTATCTGAAATTACAGGCAACACTCCTGTCTCTCCAATGCTCATGGCAGTGACACTCACTTTCTGCCCCTGTCCCTAACCTGCCACAGACCATGCTCCCGTCAGGACTGCTGCCCCGAGCACCGTGGCAATGTAAGTCTCACACCTCTGCTCACACCAGGCTGGCTATCCCTTGAAGCGGCAAAGGTCCTGCCTAGAGGACATTTTTGTCCTGCTGGCAGATGGTCTGAGGCTTGTGGGCTGTGGACTTCGTGGCAGCCACCATTTTCCTCCTTGCTGTGCAGTGTGTGCTGGCTGGAACCGCATCACCGATGGGGGATGGCCCCAGAGCCTGACCCCTGTGTGAGGGCAGCAACTCCCCCAGGCGTTGGCTGCCGAGCCTGTTGCCCACTACCTCCTCAGGGAGGCCAGCAGGAGCAGGAGCAGGAGCCGCCCTGTTCGCATAGCATGACGTGGACACGGAGCATGGTCCAGTCACAGTGGAAGGGCATGCACACAATGACCAACCACGAGCCTGGTGAGCAGAGGGGCTCTGGGGAGCCCACCCTGTCCTGCCCACCTCCAGCATCCTAGCATGAGGCCAAGCATCTTCCCATCCCACCAGCATTGCAGTAAGCAACAGCTCTGGTGCCACACTGTCTCTGCTGCCATCATCTCCCCAAGACCAGCTAGACCCTCCATCCAATGCAGCAAAGTGCAACCATGACTGAACCAGAGCCTGGCCCCTCGTGGGCCTTTGAGTCACCTGGGTGCTATGACCCTTCCAGGGGACTGTATTTACATCTTGAGCACCCATGTCAGGGTCCCAGAGCTGTTGTGGAGTCCCTCAGGCATGTGACTTGTTGGTTAAGCGGGAGCCACATAGGTGCCAAAATCATGTCTGTCCCCGCGTCACACACAGAACATCACCTACAGCCTATGCTTCCTGCTTCTTCCACAGAGGCAGGAGTCTGTTCAGGGTCCACCCGCCTCAGCTCTGCGGCACAGGTGAACACTCAGGTCCCAGGGTCACCTTGTGCCCTGTGGCATTGGAGCCTCCTGAGGAGATGTCACTCTTGGCAAAACCCAAGCAAGCTGGGAT